TTGTGAAATCCCCAGAGATTGTAAGCTTCCTAACTTTTTTCATAAAATGGGTTGTGAATGAAGATTATAAAATTAAAAATTTATAAACAAATGTTCTTAGCTATTGTTACTTATAGTACACGGTTTAAGACACTACGCACAAGTATATACTTTCGAATGATTATTCTATCTCATTAATATCAGAGACCTAGTATTTGATTCATAGCTAGCAGTGTTCTGATTGTTACTGAATTGAATTCATTTGTTGGATGTGATTTAAAAAGTGCACTTGTAAGTTTTTTACTCTCCCTCAGTCCAGAGATAATTCTGAATATTTAAACCAAAGGAGACAAATATGTAATGATTTTGACGTACGTATAAAAATATCTACATTAACAGCTTTCAAAGTCCTCAAGACATTTCTTTACAATGAATTAGTGCATCTGTGCTCACGAAACGCAGCAAAAACTAACTGTTAAGAGGGCCATATTTCTTGAGTGCTACATTATTGAGACGTCGAAGATGAGGTTTTAAAGACCACTCATTCCTCACACACTCGCCCGGAAATGACACTTGGAAACGCCATGTCTCTGCGTCAGGAGGCAGTTCGACTCTGCATCGAAGCCACAATCAATCTCGTCCCAAGCGGCCGACGAGCGCCGTCTTCCCGCCACTCCAAATATCGCACTTCATGAAGTCTAAGTACCGACCCCATCAAGTCCGGTAGCGGCCCGCGTGACGTTTCAATCCTTCGATTTAATTAATTCAATTCAATTTGTCGGCACTTGATTCTTCACACGGCGGCGGGGGCGGCGGCGGAGGCGTAGCCTCGATGGCTGGCGCAGCTCAGCGCAACACAGTGGGCCGACAAGGAACTAAATGGCCATGAATATTTTCATTTGCAAGTCACCACTATAACAGTAAAATAATAAGACAACGGTTACTAAGTTCAATTAAGCACCGCCATCGCTGTCTATAGTTTTATTAGACACCCACTTTGATTTTTAAGCATTGCAGTGCCTCAGATCGGGAGGCCCTAGGTTCGAGAATCGACTATGGCGTGATTTTGGACACTAGCTAGATAGTTGGGTCCAGTTCAGTCGCTGTCAGGAGGAACATTCTAACTTCATGCTGCTCTGAGAGGTAGTTTTCCGCGATTTCTCCAGTCAATTTTAGGCCAATGCCGGAGCAGTACAAACGGGCCACTGACCGCGCGCGATCTTTCCTTCCTCTTCCTTGTCCTAGCCTCAACCCATTTCTTACACACACTTACACTTACATCCGCTACACTACTACACATGTCGGGAGACACGTCGGAAGCTTAGATCTAGTCCTGGTTGAGCTAGTGGGGGATTACTGGATTGAGAAAATTCCGCTGGCCTACTGTAGCTCGGTGCCAGATCTCACCATCCACCGGGGGAAGGTGAAGGCCATTTCGCAAGGAGAACACATGCATTACATTTACGGGACTAGTTACATTAGCAGTGAATGCGCCCGGAATCACCAATGAATTAATCAATCGACGTTTAAGCCTTAAATGCTATCGTGTTACAGCCCCCTGCAATGTCACATCAATATTATCTGGGACATCGTGGGGAAAAAAGAGAATAATAAGAAAGGAGAAGGCAAAGGAGAAGATAAAGAAGACAGAGGAGAAAAAAATCATGGACAGAGGAGGCGATAAAGAATGATGGAAACTTATAGGAAAACGATTCATATTCGGAGCACAAACAAAATTTAATATGGGAAACATTTTGATTACAGTCTGTTCTCGTTTTGTTTTCACTTCACCATCGTCTAGGTCGATTATGATCGGAAGAGGTCTTGTTGTGCCTCTGGCAGTCAGTTTTTCACAAAATTACTATATAGTAGCGTTTAAGAGTATTGCTAGGACAACTTTTTTGTTCAAAAAATTGTGAATAAAATATAGAATAAACAAAATTTAGTAGAAAGAGAATGTGTTCGGTACGGGGTTACGATTGAATTTCGTAAGTTTCAAGAGAAATATTAGCAATTCTAACTTGTAATGACTAATGACATAAGTTCGACCAAAAACCAGAGTAAATATTTTCTTGTACTATTCATCACTTTCCCACCCCTCTCCCATCATCATCCCCAACCCTCAACAACCACTCCCCCACCAACCATAACAATCACAGCTTTTAAACTCATTTAGTGCTTAGGTGCTTTTGGGCCGTTCGGGCCCAGTGTGCGTGGGCCGCTTCATTAGTCCGCACGCGCGAGCGCCTCTGCACGCCGCCGCAACGAGGCGCGCCTCACGCCTCACGCCCCGCGCCCCGCGCCTTGGCTCGCGCGTCTCGCGGGTCGTGCACCGGCGACGGCATCACGCCCGCGCATGCGCACGCGTCGTTATCTCGCGCCCCTGGGCAATAAATTGCCTCTCAGTAGGCAGCATCCACCTCACCTCGCCTCGCCTCCCCTCCCCTCCGCCAACGTCCAAGCCCTCCGCCAACGTACGCGCCCTCCGCCAACGTACGCGTCTCCTCCAACGTCCACGCCCCCGACGCCACGGCTGCGTACAGCCCCGCGTTTGCGCAAAAAAACATGCTCGGTGGGTGGACGGGCGGGTGGACAGGTGTTGGAGAAAAATGCGAAAGATGACGTGGGTACTTAAAGGGAGAGCATATGTTGGGCGTGCGGTGAATAAGGCGTAACGAGAAGAAACAGAAGTAACAGTACGTCAAAAAATAAAAGAAAAAAATAAGATCGGACAAAGCGCAAAATCATGATGCAGAATCACAACGCAGGAAAAAAAATACTTGAAAGAGAAAAGCGGGCTACTGTGTGCTGAACTAGCAACCCATACGGCCGTATTGTACGAGGGTAATGAAAATAAAAGGAGCTCTTGTAATTCCGAGGGAAATGTAGAACACAAATTCCAACAACTTTAAAAAGAACACAATACGGAAAGCAGCCAAGTTTTGAGAGTTTAAATTAAGAGGAAAATTTGAAGCGTTTAACTACGATGAACTAGAAGATGCACTAAAACGTTTGACCTTATTATTTCAAATTCCAAAAATATCAATGACATCTCAAGTTTAAAACTACTCTTTAATTGTCTTGTGCACGCCAGATTGGAATATGCTTCAGTTATTTGGTCTCCTTATTGTATGTCTCTATGAAACCAAATTGAAAAAATTCAAAAACGATTCTCGAGTTATTTGAATTAAAAAAAGGTCCAAGCAATCTGCTTTTGAAATTTCTTATAATATTTTAGTTAAAGAACTCAATCTAACTACCTTGCAAATAGAAAAAAAATTGCTGAACAATTGTTTTATTTAAAGTAGATGACTTTTATCGACACGTTCACTTTCACATTGCTCCATCTTTCCTGACAATTTTGAACTTCCACAAAATTACATTTCGCTTTCTTTTTAATTAGTGGACGTACAGGAATGTGGTCTTGAAACATTTTCAGGAGTCTTCTCTTCAAATAGGGTTTCCTTCCCATTCGTTCGGCTTACGCGCTGACCGCAAGCCTGAGGTGGTGGGGGAGGTGGACGGTGGAGGCTGGGGGGGAGGGGGCGGCGGAGCTTTGAAGCGCGAGAGCGCGAGGGCGGAGGGCAGAGCGGAGAGAAGCTTTGCCGGCGCAACGCCGAGGCTGCATCTCATTCAGCGAGCATTCAGGAGCCGCTCAAAGGCCCGCTCGCCGCCCGACCCGCCTCCGCCCCGACCTCCACCGTCTCCGCCCCCCTCACGCCAGCGTCCTCTGCCGCCCACCCAGCTCATTACTCATCCGCCCCCTCCTCTACCTCCGCACTTGCCTCTGCTCCACCAGCGCCTCTTGCTTCGCCTCTTACACCCCCCGCCTCTGACTGCTCACTGCCCGCCGCAAAAGCGCCTCCCCCCGCCCCCCGCATTTCGTTCCCTCCGCCCACCTCACCCTCTGACGTTGCTTCCTCCACCCATATTTGCCTCCGCCACCCCATCCCCATGCTCCTCCTCCGTCTCATACCTCCGCTCGCCTTCCACCTCCCCATCTCCTCCGCCACCATCTTACGTCTCTTGACACCACCATCGCCCCGTCACCACTACCACTGCCTGCCACCTTTGACACTGCCTGTCCTTTCGCCATCACCGTTCCCACCCCCGCCATCGCCAACCTCTGCATCTCCGCGCCAGACGCAACCAGCAACCTGCAATCGGCCTAACACTCTGCACCACTCACTGGAAGTTTCTTTGCCCAGTCCCCTTTACTCTTAAGTAAACCTTTTTACATCTCTAGCACTTCTAATACCGCTTTGCCTCTTATTTCCTCTTTCACCTGAAACACCTTAAGGCATGTTCCCTCCAGCAGGATATACTACAACTCTTATTACTGTCGGCTACTGACAATTATTTCACAATAACTCCACCAACATTGTTTCCTCTGCATTACAAGTGCCTTCTGATTCTTCGCATTCTATTCAGCTCGTTTCCATTCTCAACAAAAACTTTCTAGTGTTTTCTACCCTAATATCACAACTGATGAAATTGCCTCACCTACATCTACCAGCGAGTATTACCAGCATCAAAGTAAAGAGACTTTAGCTCATCATTCACCTCAGTCTGTGTTCCTACCACCTTCACAGGCCAGCACACTTCTCTTTTTATTTTCTGTCTTTTAACGTAACAACATTTACCTCTGTCACCTCAGAGACACAGCTCAGATACATTCAAAACCCCCTCATATGAAAAAACCCATTATCACCAAACACCCCATTTACATACATACATACACACACACACACATACAGAAACACATAACTCGCACCCCGATCACTGCCACCATGGTGCCGTCAACCACAAAATAATTTTTGCCACTTTTTACCCACCCTTCAAACCACGTCATCAGATCACACCAAGCACATAATCGGTCAACCACGACGATTAACTTCCAGGCCCTCACAATCAGAATTCACCATCGCCATCTCCCAGGACCCACAATCGGTCCACATCTAAACAACTACCATTCACCACCGCTTACATCGCCTCCACCTCCATCATTATCCATCGCTCCATCACAACGCCCCTAATGCCGCTTCCTCCTCCACTCCGCCGCTTCCTCCTCCACTCTCGCGCTTTCCTTCTCCACTCCGGCGCTTCCTCCTCCACTTCCCGCCGCTTCCCCCTCCTCTCCCGCCGCTTGCCTCCTCCACTCCCGTCGCTTCCTCCTTCCACTCCGCCGCTTCCTCCTCCACTCCCGCCGCTTCCTCTCCACCTCCCGCCGCTTCCTCCTCCACTCCCGCCGCTTCCTCCTCCACTCCCGCCGCTTCCTCCTCCACTCCGCCGCTTCCTCTCCACGCCCGCCGCTTTCCTCCTCACAATCCCGCCGCTCCCTCCTCCGTCTCCGCCGGCTTCCTCCTCCACTCCGCCGCTTCCTCCTCCACTCCCGCCGCTACCGCGACCTGCATCTCATTACTACGGCCTGCCTCCACTACCACCGGCCTCCGCCGCGCTTCCAGCGGGCTGCCACGAACGAAAGGCGCTGCGCGGCGGTGATTAGCTGGCGCGAGCGCTCTCGCGGTCGCGCCCTCTGCAGTGCGCCGACGGATCCTCCTCGTCCTTCCAGCGCTGCTCCTCAAGCGCGCAGCGGACAGACCGGGACGCTCGTTCGGCCGGGGAGGAGGCGAAACAACGACAATTCGCAAAACTGATCCTGTTCAGCTGTTTCAAACGGCTATTCCGGAATGGTGGAGATGAAGAACAACGCGTTAACATTAACAGCTTCCCAGCAAGCCAGGAAACGTTCGTTTTTTTGTTGTTTCTCTCTATCCGGGCAAATTTTATTAACACTGTTAGGTTAGAGGGGTAAATTCTGAGCATTTGTTTCAAAGAATATCCTAATCTAATAATTCACTTTATCTTTCTCTTCATCGGGAGGTGAAACCTTTAGGAAACAAGAAAATGGACGTTTCGCTTTAGAATGTGTTGGACACCACACATGAAAAATCTAATGGGCTTGGTATGCCATTATGAAAATAACCCAGCGGCAGTCAAATGTAATTTGGTAATAATGGAGAAGGGATACTGACAAAATTCTGATGCTGGAGGGAACATTTTACAATCCTAATGTATCAAAATATGTAAATGTTTAAACCATTTCTGTGGTTCAGAGCTATTGATGCAATCGTATCTTAGCTGTATTGCCTAGTTTTGCATATCATAAACATCTGTAACAAATCGTTACATCTCCATATTTCAATTTTACCATAACAGAATTTTCAATTATGTTTTATTTCAAACGTATTACTAAAAAAGGTTATTGTCTTGATTTATTGGTTTCATCTTGTCATCAAAAATATTAATAGACCCATTCATTATTATTAGTGTATAATGAATATCTGTCTTATTATGCACTACAATACTCCTGACCAATGAGGTCAAACGACAAACTTCCTATTAAGATACTTTTCAACACGCATTCCGCTCTTTCGATCCATAAGGACAGGCGTCCTGTGCCTTCGGCAGCATTCCCGAGAGGAGACAAGTAGATGACGCCAGAAGAAAGATTTTCCCCGTAGCAAAGACGCGAGGCGACAACCAACCGGACCGGAAGAGCGCCGGGAGAGCCTTGATGTCACAAATCAACTTGAGAATTGCCCTCTCGAAAGGAGAGACCGGTGCCGACGTGTGGCGAATGGCTGCGCCGTGCGCTACAAACGTCAGCCGTCTCGGAGCAGCGCTACGAGTACTACGACGGCGTTGCGGCAGCCTGGACCGGACGTCGGCCGACAGGCTGCCAATGGATCATCTGCGAGTGAAATCGGGTCAGAAGATGCCCTTAAATGCGGAGACCGGTGGTCGAAGTGGGTTGGGTGGGTAATAATCAAATAGATGCACACTATGTGTAGTACCTGTCTTCTTCAATATCTTCTTATTGTTATTCGAAGTAGAAATAATAATAATAATAATAATAATATACTTATAAAATTATAATAAAATTAACGTAACCAACACTTTATTATATATAATCAGCATTGCACTCATCATGAAGAGGAATTCGATAAAACAATCTTTCTTTATCACCAATTTATTAACCTTGATCTCGATTATTTCTCTAAAATCCAGATGCTTTCCAGGTTTAAAACGCAAATCATTGACTAAAAAACTCGATATAGAGAAAATTTGAGCTAATATATAGAGAAATATTTAGAGACTAATATCTAGAGCACATTTGAGTAGCGGAGTCCTTTTGCACACAAAATCATCATCATCACCTAACAACCTTCGGATGCAAAAATTAATTCAACATAGAAATGCTTATCCTCTCTCCTCCCAAAAAATTCACGTGTAATTCCCCCGGAAAAAATATGACTGAGCCTTCGTGGGTACAGTTGCACGTTCACACAGTCTTAAGATGATCGATTCGCAAAGTCACATCGATCGATTGTCACATAGTCGTCCCTTTCGTCGCTAAGTGTCCGACAGGGCAGTGCATTGGTAGTACCCAACGTGTCTGAGTGAAGGACCGGGAGAGTTGGCGGAGTGGCGCCGGGAAGCACGGGCTGGCGTGCGCCAAAGCCCCGCGTGATGCGCCTGTGTGCACGCGTGACGCGCGCATGCGCAAGGTCCCCGCGCTGTTTGCGCACGACTATCGGGTAGCGCCCAACTGCCAGCCTCGCTGCCCGCGCGCTTCTGGCCGGACCCGTCAAATATTCGCCAACGCCGGCTTCGTGCGGAGGTAAATGGAAATTAGGGAGGTTTTGAACATGGAAGCGTAAAATTAACTAGGCGCGAATCCATGGAGAAGGAAATCCCCTCCTAATGTTTTTCTGTAACTATTAATTTCAACTTATCACGAAACTTTTATGCAAAAGTATTTTCGGATAATCATTTAAACTAATGAGATCATATCGCACCATGAGCTGAGTGTAGCCTGCGCCATTTTGCAAAATCTGTACCGACACATTCAGCCAAAATATTTTTAATTTCCCCTCCCAACATTTGTCTGTGAATCCGCCTCTGAAGCAATCGGCAGCACTGTCGATCTTCTGCGCATGCGCAGTTTGCGTTTCGCACCACTTTTGTGCATCTGCGCGGGCGCAGAAGATCGGATTTGCAGTAAGTTGCTGCGCGCTAAGGCGTGCAAAATTTCTCTTTTAAGTGGGTGCGCGAACACTCAGTGTACTGGAGGTTCACTGTAATTTCTGCAGTCGAGAAAGTGATTGACCTCTACTATGTTCTTTCCATGCTGAACTTCGCTTTTTTTGTGAACGAAATGAGCGTATTTTATAATAATTTTACTATCAAAATTTAATGGTTTTAACTTTTTCACATTGTGTATCTTTTCCACTCCTTGCATTTCCCTTTTTCTAGGCACTTTTCTTCAGTTAAGACTCGAATTGGGGTATTTCGAAGCATTATAAATTGGGTATATTATGACCAACTAAAAAATGAAAGAACAGCATTGGAAATCATATTAAAAAAGGGTATAAACGACACATTACAAAGACGTAGTCTGGAATGAGCAAGCTTTTCTTGAGTAAGCAGAGTAGTGTTAAATGAAAATTCAAACCTCAACGGTTTATTTCATTTACCGAATGAGATGGATTTTCGGAGAGATACGTATCCTCCATTTTGACGCTTGAACACACGTCCGCAGATCTTCGAGGTAGGGGTTGAGAAGAGATTATGATTATGATGCCAGAAGTGAGCGAGAAGGTGCAGAAGACAGTCGATTGGCAGGCACGAGTAACAGGAGAACCCCGAGAAAACCTGCCACGAATCTGCTTTGCCAATTAAATTCTTCTTGAATCGGACGGGGTTCGAAGTCCGGACCCTGTAGACTGACTGCTACACCCCTAGGCGCGAAATGAATATTATGTGAAAAACGCCAAAAATAAATCGTACATTCTCTAGCATTAATGGATAGGTGGTCGTGAAAATAAAATATGAATAATGTAGGGAGCAATGGTGAAATGAATAGAAACGGGAAAATTCGAGGAAAACCTCCAGCCTACCAGTTTTGTTATTTATTGATTGTTGGCGATTCTGGCGCTAAGGTCAGTAGTCTCGTGCGTGTAGTGCCGATTTTTTTCTCAGGAGGTAGCGGTGATCTTCAGCCGCAGGACGGTGAGAACCGTCGCCGATCTTCCATCGGCTAACGGTGTTTTCCCGAACCAATTATCTCCCACTAGCGTGGCACCGCCCCAGACGGGACAAGGCCTAAGCCCCCGACCGGTGTGTGTGACAGTGAAACGCATGTTAATGCAAGTGTACGTAAGGAATGATATGCCCAAGAAGAAGAAGGAAAGATCGCGCGCGGTTCTTGGCCCGTTTGTTAGGGTACTGCTCCGGCATTCGCCTGGTGTTGATCGGAGAAACCACATGACACTATCGACCAGAGCAGTCGGTCGCTAGAATTCTCCTAGACTGCGACTGAATTCGACCTTGCTGAAAAGCTAGTAACGAAAATCCTTCCACTGTTGGGACTCGAACCTTGGACCTCCCGGTCACTACAGTGACATCAGTTGATACCGTGAACCACCTCTCCCGGTGCAGCCGCTTCGTTCCACATGGAGCAGCCGTTGTTGTTGTTGGTTTTTTTTTTCATTTTTTTTTTTTTGAACTTCAACCTCAGTAGTGGAAGTGCCACACCAAGCAATAATTACAGAGATCGTCGTCTGCGGGGGGGGGGCGAGGTCAGCTGACGCAACGAGAGCTCTTGCTTTCCAGGGGCTCTGGCCGTTGTGTCTCGCCGCTGCGCCAGAGTCAACAGTCTGAGCTGTGGGGCCTTGTGCTCTCTCTTCTCTGCCGCGAAGGCGAATGTCGCCGAGCGGCGGCGGCGGCCAAAATGACGAAACCCCCGCGGAGGACCTGCGCTCAAAGGGACAGTCTCTGCGCCAACCCGGAAGACGCCTCGGAGCCAGTAGCTGTTTGCTCAACCGGGCGGGCGGAGCAAAAAATGTGCAAATTGTCGGAGTTCGCTGGGCTTATGGTTCCCAGTCACAACGCATACGTACGGTACGTTATAGGTCGTGGTACTCGCAGTCATAAACTTATGAGCTTTTTGAAAAATAATTCAAAGGTAGTCAATTTTAATACATGACATGGTGTGTGCATTTTTAGTCACAGAATGCATTTGTGTATAATAAAGTGAAGGCAGTTTCCAAGCTTCTGAATTTGTGAGTTTTCATTCAGTCATTTGAATTGAATGTCAGTCAAAAGCATAGAAAGTGCCAACTACTTCGTAGCAACCAAAAAATGAATGAAATTTGTATAAGAAACGAGTCTTTGAGTGTTGAGAAAAAAAGAATATTTCTATTAACAAGTCCCCAGAGGATTGAATATAGT